CCTATTATAGAAGCAGAAACAGCAAACATGCCATATTTACCAAATAGTAAACCAAGTAAAAACAACAACCAAGGTGACGAAAACTGGGCCAGTAACATAGAACAAGAAGAAAAACCAGATGGTAAAGGCAAACAAAAAGCTATTTCTTCTACAAACAAAAACAACAAGGTAAAAAACAAGACATGTGCAGTAGCAAATACAGAAAACAACAAACAAATAGATACAAAACATGTGCATATCACACATGACAAAATTGATACACAAGACAAAACCGTTGATAGCACAACATCAAATAATGTGAATGACAAACCAGCTAACAACAAACCCAAGCAATGGTTAGATTTATTCTCGAAGCTGAAAGGAGGCAAGGCAACCTTCTCTAACACAGCACCCAGAAACAAGATTTATTCTAAGAATGAAAATGCTCTTGTTTTTGATATTTCTAAGCTTACCAACATACCTACCAATGACATCATCTTAACCCTCTACATCAAACTGGGAGAAGATATGCTAGCAGCAAAAACACACATTATCAGAGGCAGACGGGCTCTCTTAGAAATAGCCTTCTCAGATAAAGACAAACAACAACTGTATACTTCAGAAGGGATTACAATGTTTAAACAAACATTCTTTGGATATGTTCCAGTTAATCTTAAGCATATATTCCTTTTAGTTAAATTGAAGAACACACCAATGGGCAATAAAGAAGTTATCAACGAACAGATTAAGGAAGCTTTCCAGGATATTGGCACCATTGCCTCTATAAAACCACTTCTATATGAAGGAACCCCAATATGCTCTGTCGGCCAGACTACCTAGACACATGCATGTTGGTGACCACAAAGTCACTACAGACTGGAAGAAGGCTTCAAAAATATGTTATTACTGTGAAAAAACAGAACATATTAAAAAAGAATGTGCAGAACTTAGAGCTTCAATGGAACTAAGACAGTTACAAAAAGAACGAAAGAAATCCTTAATGGAAACAAACAAACTTAACCAAAAAATGCAAACAGAAGATATATCCTACAGTCCAAAAAACCCATATATCTCAGATATGGTCACAGAACAAGATGGACCAAACACTAATGTACCA